GTCGCTAGTCTTGTACAAGAACGAAAAGATAATCTGCGTCAAAGTCGGAAAACAGGTAAGTGTTTTTAGACACATCATCAGCAAGGAAACTCATTTACCTGTAGACCACCAACGACAACATTTTCGTCTACGCAGCGTTCAGCAGCGAGCGCAATTCTTGAAATGAATCCCTGTGATTTCCAGCTTGCGAGGACACTGTTCTCCGATCGCGATATGGTGCTGCAAAATAAGCGCCATCGTTTGTTAGAACAGCTGAAAAAGCTAATCAAATAACAATCAAACCCAACCTGAGTAGGACATTGCAGCAGCAAATACGAACTTGCAGTGGTAATTGGTCGTATCGAGCTTCGCTCCACATACTATCGAGCAGTCTTTGCACTCGTGAGTCGATGCCATCAGTATCACGAGTTTTACTGTTTTCTCCGTTATCTCCATTCTGGATCCCGAATATCCACGCTATCAGCAGGTTCATAAGTGATGCAGCACTCGGCATTTTTTTCGTTTCTTGTCCGCTGTCGTTTGCTGCAAGTCTGGAGAGTATCAACGATATGCAATCTATGCAACCGCGTTGGAGGTCGGCAACGAGTGAATCATCGGCCGGAAGTGCCAGGATTTGCACCAGCACTGCAATTGCTTTTGAACTGATGTCACAATCTTTGTAGGCGTGTTCATCCTCCGAAAAAACTCTGTTGAGGTAGTACACCATCAACTTAGCTGTCACCAGTCCACAAGAATCTGGAACGCTGTCGTCTTCGACAATACATGAACAATCTTGTTCTCCGTGAGGGGTTGCTTCTCGCAAGAATGCAACTACGTGTGCAAGCACGAACGGCATCACAAGTGGGGGAGGAAACTTGGACAAAGACTCCGTTGCGAGCATCTTGACCTCCTTGAATTCCAGTGGATCCACCACGGAGCGGGCAAGAATGTGAAAGAGAACTTCACCCGTGGCACACGCCTTCACTTCAAATTTAGTGTTTAGGTCGCTGTCATCGACCTGTAGCTGATGGTCGATATACTCATTTAGGTGATCCAAATCCTCGCGCCCACACTACACAATAACGTGAGCATTACACAAGTCACCAAACTGAATAAAGAAAGCAGCTGTAAAAAAGATTTCCTACCGACAGCGTCTTCATTTGGACGGATCGAAAGACCTCTCTAGGAATCATTCGTAGCACTAGCAGCGGTGCTAATCCAGAAAATAGCAACCCCTCAATATTTTTTGCGGCTGAGGGCGAATTATCATTCAAAGACTCTTCAGTTAAACGCGGAACATTCTGCAATAGCCATGATATCATACCACGTTTTAGCTTGATCAATAATGACTCGACGATCCAGTTTAAATAACTTACCATCATAAAGGAGCAGATTTGCCGCGCCATGACTTCAAATTCTTCATGGTTCACCCAGCCACACGCCGTAAATTCACGCAGCATTCTTAATAGCACAGGATCACGAGGAGAACCAAAATTCTTGCGAAGTAGGATGCACAAAACTTCACTTCTCGTATTTGTCGCTCGGAGATAATTGCTCCACCTGCTCGGAAAAGGTATGAATCACACATGGTTAGTCATTGAAAAGGTAAGAATGACATTGCAGTGAAGGTGCAACGTACCCCGTTGGGCTGAAGCACAATGAAAATAGTCTCTCTTGCAGCTCCTTCCGTTCGTCGATAGCAGCATTTTCTTTAGCACTTGCACCCAGTTGGGCAACGTAGTCACTCCAATCACGAGGAGCTGTCAGCATCTTACTAGAGATGAAATGGGATTGAATGCTCCCAAACTGGCACGCATCAATATACCACGACACCATTACCTCAAGAGATTTCCGCGTCGCAGTCGAGAAAAGGTATCCAAGTGCCAATGAGATGACTTGGCTTCCAGCTTTGTGCATAGCGGTTGTGGTCAATCCAGCGACGCAGGACAAAGCGTCAAGTGATGGCAAGCATGAAATAGCCTAGAGATGAACACATGAGTCAGTTTTCGAGTTTGTTGATCTCATGCAAACGACTAGACTTACCAGTCGCTGCACACTGTAGTTTTCGTGAGTGATGAGACACAATACGCCCGGCGTAAGCTGCTTGCTGCTCACGACCAAAAAACGAATTTCTTTCAGTTGTTTGTATCAAATATATTCTCCTCGAGAAATCCTTACCGCCAGTGTCGATACAGCGGTGATTGATTAGTTGCATTGTCGAGTTGGTATAGAAATGTCCGCACGAGTGAAATTGCATTCTATGCAGCAGAAATACCACAACAAAGCAGGTATTAGCGCACAGGAATACAATAGTACACCAGCAACGCCCACTCACCATAACATTTGCAGTGTGGGTGCCATCTACTCGGCATACAAGCTCAGTGATCAATAATCCACGAGAAATAATGAAGTCGGCGACAAACAACTCCAATTCTGTTTGAGCTTCCGATCCAATATCAGAAACCACACGCGTGACTGTGGACCTGCCGTGTGAACGAAGCAACTGCGAAAGAAGACCTTGTTCTTCGTCTCGTGAGTCCAAAAGGCTGAGTGAATCACTGGGCAACAGTAGGGTTCTTAGGACTTCTAAAACGAGTAGAACTGTCGTGTAGTTGCCATTTTTGACTGCCGTAGTCAAACCGTGCACAAAGAAGAAAACAAAGTTTGCCTTCATTTCTGCTGAAAAGTCTCCAAATGCCTTGGAACATCCTTTCACTCCACCAATTGAATCCATCAATAGGCACACGTAGCGTAGTTGAGCGTTTACTACCTCAGGGTTAACAATGCCAGGCTTATCTCGGGTTGCATATGTATCTGTAGCCCACCTCTCCAAAACTCGAGCAAGAACCTTAGACGGCTGGTGCTTTTGGACTCGAGAGAATGCGACAGAGCGTGTGCAAAGAACTGGGGCGGTTGTCTCCCAATGCCAACATAGTACATCAAGCACGGTTTGGTTATCTACACCCGTGTTTCCATCTCCATTTCGATTTTTACTTGGCAAGACGACATCACAAGCAGTGACATATGCTAGCAGATGTTGAATCGCATACCCAAGTAACTGTCGGCGTGTTGAGTGTAAATGCCACTGCCGTAGCGTCATAAGACAGAATCGCATGGTCTCCACCACTTTGTGCATCAACTTATCGTCAACCAAACGCGTTTGTGCTACTTCATTGGAGATCAAATACTGGGCAGCGACGTCCCCACTCAGCAATATAAGCGTTTCTAAGGCGATCAGCGCAAGCTTGGACGGTTTAACACGATGCAAGTCAACCCGAGTAGTTCCTCGTTCTACAATATCACGAATTGCATCCATGTATACCTCAACTTGATCACCCAGCAGGCAAACATTCTCCTCTCGTGCTTCGAACGTCTGTAACTTGGAACGATGCCGTTGCAACAACTCAAAAAGCGTAAGACAAGCAACCAACTGTTTCTGCTTCTCGGTAATCGGCTGCATCCATTCCAGCAGCAACTGCCGCGCATAGTCACAAGTAGACACTGTTTTTCCACCACTTTCACGTTCGAGGTTCATGATCCACTCCAGCAATATATGCATAATCTCCGCTTGTGACCCCCAAATGCAGCAGTTCGTCCGAGACGCCGTGCAATCTCGCATCGACTGCATCATAGCAGCTCCAGCCACCATGTGCACTAAATTTCGGCTCGAGTTCTTTTTTCCTGATCCTTCACCATTATCTTGAATGTCATAGGCATTTCTTACTGTAGTCAAAGCAGCTTGCAGTCTTGCAATCCGCTTGTGGTCTGACAGCGACAGCACTCGACCCTGAAGCAGTGAACAATCTAATGAATTAGCAACAATAGTAACCGGCAGCACGACATAACACTGCAAATTGCTAATTGATACCTCAGGAGTGCGTTTCAGCACGTCCACGTTGTCCCCGCCACTAGGTTTTAGCAAAGACTCAGAGCTGGTCCTGGGTTTGACACTGACCATCGCTGCCTCCATCTACACAGTCACGGCGTGTCATAAGTCTATTCCTACACAAAAGGGGAATGAAAGTGTGTGGATAGGTTGGAGGCCTTACGTGGAAGAGTTCGCAGTCTCCTAACACGCGAAGCAGTCGTCCAGCGCTGTTGCCATCGCTAGTCCTCGCCATTTTGCAATGACACTTGAAATGCAATTTTTCTTATAATTATGTGGGTCACATTAATTGAGTTGTGTTCGATACCAAGACAAAGCGACGACTAGGACGTTGAACTGGTTGCACATTGTGATTGATACCAACTCCATTATACATACAGATACTCCTAGAGCTGGTGGCTTTCCTATCACTCGGAAGCGAACGCATTTAGAGCGTTAAGGTATTGGGGTGGTCGTCGCGGCGGACTTTGTCGACGTCATAGTACGACGCACTATCGTCCGAGTGGGCGCTAAGGAACGACTGGTTCGATGACTGGTTCGAGGAGCCTGTTCCTCGTCGACGTGAAGGGTAATACATGCCATCGTCACTACCATTGTCAGTGATTCGACTCTGGGCATTGAAATCCACACGAGATGTCGCGAAATTGGCCGTCGACTGGTAGCCGTACGAGTCCATCGAGTCGCGCGAGAAGGCTGACTTGGTCACACCAAGCGGACCAAGTTCGTAGCTCTGGCCTTCCACATCGTTGGCTTCGTTTCCATCCTCATCCGTACTGACCACGGTCTTTGATCGAGCCTTGAACCAGCCGCTGCTGTCCCCGTCAAAGCTGTTCTCCGAGTCGTTCGAGAAGATCGACATCTTGGCCTGAGGACTGCTACCATAGCCGCCACTTTTGTTGGACTGATGAGCAGCAGCGCCCATCGCCGCTGAGAACGTGTTGTCCTGCTTCACGGTGCTTTGGCTGCTGACAGACGAAACCATCGAGTCCGAGAAGTTGACGTACGACTGCATCATAGCCACCGAGCTGGCTTGTGACGCACCAGGAGCAAACTGCTGACTTACACTCGATGCACCAGGATTAAACTGCTTGCTGGGCGCTGAAGGCGCAGCTGAAAAGTCATCGATATCCACATCGTCAATATCCACATCCTTGCGCAACGAATCCATATCAAAACTACGTTTCCGTCTCGACGAAGAGCTACTGACACCCGAACCGGAGAAACTCTCTGCGTACGCGTCGAGCGGCACCGTCGATGGACGTGAGCCAACGCCCGATCCGGACATAGCAGCTCCTCCTCTCGATGATTGACCTCTCGATGACGGCGGACCCCTGGACGATGCCAAGCCTCTCGAAGAGTTCTGACCTCTTGAAGAATTCTGTCCTCTTGACGAGAGCTGGCCTCTCGACGACTGTCCTCTTCCAGACTTTGGTGACGTGGAGTATGCAGCCTCGTCACCAGTTTTGTTCGTCCCGAGGTAAGCTGACAGTACATCGTACGTCGGAATTTCCGGTTCAGGTTCAGGAGCAGGGGCGGGAGCTGGTGCAGCATTATTCACTTCAAAGGCATCTGCGCTACGCGTCGAGTCTCCAAATGAGTACTGCTGGTTGCGAGACACCGGTGGACGAATCTTTCCTCGTGATCGACTGAAGACCGGGACAGGCTCTGGAGGTGGCTCCAGCATTGGTACATTATCGGAGTGTCCACTGCGGGAGCTCTGAGTGCTGTAACCGGACATTGCGCTAGTCTGCGTTTGGTACTGTTGTTGCTGTTGTTGTAGTTGCTGGTTATGCCGTTGTTCTTGTAGCTGTTTGTTCGCGTACCAATCCACACCCTGGCCTGCTGGTGTGTTCTCCACCTGCTCGTAACTGCGGACGTTGGTGGACATGTTGTTTCCAAACTCGAGATTGATGTCAGTAGCATCCAAGCTCGAGTCCTTGCCGTTCTTCTTATGACGGCAGGCGATAACCATCTTGTGGACAATCGTGTATGCTTGGCGTACGAACAGTAAAAAGAAGATGAAAATGTTCACTCCGATGATACCGTAGGCCACATTGTCACGCACGTTCTGCGGGAAGTAGTCGTCTCTGGCCACGATGAGCATAAGGCAGATAAGCACCACCTTCATGAATACCGACGCGATACCGATGTAGTACAGGAACCGCAGCAGATTCGGCTGACGGATGAGGAGCAAGATCAAGTACACCATCGTAATAGCCATGATACATAGCAATTGAGTCGTGGCATCGCGAACAATCCCAACGATCGCTCCAGTCATGACTGCCAGGAGAATGCGAGGCACGAAGAAGAAGCGGTTGTCGAAGTTGTACTCGTCGTAGTAGGCGCTGTATTTGCTGCTGAACGCTCGCTGGTCGTGCTCATAGGTTCCCACGTCTTTAAGTTCATCTGTGTTGTTCCCAACAACGATGATACCAAGTCCAAGAGCTAAGAGCACAACAGCCGCAAGAGCGACAATACCCAGTGCGTATCGTGAGCTAGAACCATTGGCCGAGTCATTTGAAGATCCTTCCGAAACGAAATAACTTCCCGCCATTGCGAACATGTACTGAGCCAACAGCAGAGCCAGCACACCGGCCCAGATAACCTTGCGATACCATTTACGCGCCACTTCACCGAACGATTCCTGCTTGGACATGGCACCCACGACCATGACGAACACCAAATACAGCGCGTGCAGCACTGCAATCACAACGACAAAGGTCACGAGTGTGTAGAAGAAAAGGTCATCGGCATCAACGCCGATCAGAGCGGCATATCTTGCCGGTCCTGACTCTCCAGCAGCGGCGACAAAACCTGTCGCGCTTGAGCTGGAATCGTCTAGTCTCCGGGTTCCGTCGCTATCGCTTCCACTGCTGCTAGAGTCATCGCTACTTCCTTTAATCAAGTTGAAATTCGTCCATGACAGCTCCTTGGAGAACTGCATCAGAAACGTCGGGGCGCCTTCAATTCTCAGTTGGCTGATCATACCAACGAATTGAGCCTGCTCGACGATGTGCGTCATCTCATAGAAGCCTCCGGAGAAACTCAGCGCTGCAGCAGCGCTGGGCATCGCCGAAGCCCAGAGGATCGAGCCTGTACCAATCACTGCCGCGCCAGCCAAAGAGGTGGCGATGACACCCGACGCTGTACTGCCGGCCTTAGAGTCCAAGAAATGCAACGTGCCTGTGGTGTTGGTAGGCCACTGCGTGTTGCTACCGAAGACGCATCCAGAGCAACTGTTGGCCTCGACGTAACTGGCGTTGAGGTCGCCAATATCGACGTCGGACGCGAGGTTGAGCGCCTGCCGAATCTGGTCCTCGCCCCACGGGATTGCGTACGTGTAGAAAAGCAGGCCAAGCGCAGCCAAAATGCCCAGAGGCAGCAACAGCGCGCAGAGCTGTGAGAGCGCCATGCAGCCGCAGCATTTAGCGGCGCAACACAGCAGTCCCATTGAGTCGGATCGTTTGGAGCTATTGGTACGAGGCGAAGGTGACCCTCGTGGTGGTGGACCTGCTGAAGTGGAACTGGCTTTGGATGAAGAAGGGCTTTGCTGTACGCTTTGATAAGCTTCACTTTTGACTCGCGGCGCAGAGGCGCTGGAAACAGAGGGAGCAGCACCATCGAGCTTTGGATGGGACCACGGAACGAGAGACCGTGGCAATTGCAAGAATTCAGCTCGAACTGCTATTTTATTGGTAGAAACATTTTAATTTGTATCAAGTTTGAAGGGATATTGTGATATTTGACCAATTGATATGCGCGAAAACTATTCAGAGGCATTTCGGTGCAGGTGGGATTTTGACGAGTGTGTGAGACGGGCTAGGGGCGCTTTTGACAAGGTCTCCACCACTTTGAGCAGAGGACTCGTCGTTCGCGTCGAGCAATCGTTTGCATTTCCAGCAATCTCTAATGAAGAAGAAGAGGGCATGACAGCTGCAACCATTGAGTATATTGCCTCCCGAATTCGCGAAGCTGCTATAAATCTGCTAATGATTCTGCCTCGCTGATCGACAGGGTAGTTGCTAATGATCGCACACAGTGGATTCAACGCTGTGGCCGCGCTACTACATGTACCTGAAGTCGTTGCTTCCACCGCGTCACTTTGGTCGTTAGCTGTTGATAGCTTTTACAGTCGTCTCCTCAGCGATGTGAGAGTCGACGATGTGAGGCCTGGGTCAAACTTTAAGCCTTGGACGACGAAAAAACTGTCGACGGATCGAGCTGCTTCAACGTCATCGCCGATGCAGCACAACGTGTGTCACGCACCATACGATGAAATGAGATGTGGTTGACGTTTTTGGCGTTCTTATGTTTGTGTTTTGGTTTTAATAACTTGATTTAACAGTTAAACACACCGTAGTTGATGTGGACTACCTTGTATACATATTGTATACTCTAGCTATTTCTAAACGGCAATCAGTCATTTCTAACCAGGACGATGGACAGCGCCACGCACCCATTCGAATGGTACGCCTCATGCCGACTGCACTTGTATCGCAGCCCCGCTGCTGATAAATCTAACACTTTGCCTGCTTTGTTGCACGAAACGCGCCTTCGCAGCGAGATTAACCTGAGCTTTCCTGAGGAGGTAGATGCGCAGTATGTGCTGCAGACGCTTGAGGTCGACGAGGAGCTCCAGCCGGAGAAGATCCACCGCACACTGACTGTTAAGGGCGCCGAACTCCACGTGTACGTTTTAATCTGACAACATTTGTCTGTAACTCTCATTCCGTATATTGGTGCTGAACGCTGTTATGCCTATGCCTGTTTGCTGCTGGTGAATTGGTGGTGGGGATGCGGTGTAGGCACTTCGAGGCTACGGAGATTCGACTGCTGCGTGCCGCTGTGTCTTCCTTCTACGATATGAGTGTGTTGACCGCTAGGGCACTGCTGGAATTCAAGGAGTGAGCAAGTCTAGGTGAACGAAATACAGTCCCAGCGTTTGACCCATTGCTTTTGCGCTGTTTTCCGCGATCCACGCATCGCGTATGCCTCAACGCTTCTCCGTTGCAACTACGGGTGAGTGAAACGCGCTTAAAACTACTTCGAAGCATCGTCTACTAGAATATCTAACGTTGCCTCTGACTGCAGTGCGAATCGTTGGGTACATGTAGCGGGTTGCGGGGTTGATGAATACAACGGTTTAATGGTCAATTCAGTAACAGCCTCCTACCTGTTACTGTAACCTGTTCATTCAAGCCTAGGAATGTTGAGTTTGCGCTTTCTATTACCTATACATGGAGTTTCGAACAAGTATAATTGTTGATCATTCCATGATTCGGCTAGTCGCACATTGCGTTATCGCATCCGATCAAAACGACGGTGACGAGTCCTTCGTGAAAATTGGTGTTTGCTCGATCGCCTTTAGTCTTGGTTGCGCTGCCCTCCGTTGCTTTGCGCTGTAGCTCAGTTTCAGTTGCTTGGGAAGTTGAGATTTTTTTGGTGGTGGCTGTGAAGCGGGCCATGCTAAGTGGCCACCCTCAAGATAATTTCTCCGAAGGCTATTCCTCTGGACTGTGAACCCCATGGA